CCTTGACTTTCCTCTTAAGTTCACCTTAAAGTCGTTCAGGTGGCAGAAAAAAGAGAGACAGTTAAATCACCTGCAGTGTGTTTATTATCAACAGGGAGGGGGCCGATGGGAAATGTAGTTTTTATGTTAAGAAACGTATGCAGTTTGTTTATGAAGCGTCTTTATCTTTTTAAGGATACATGTGTTAATACCAGCTGTTCAGATCCTCCCTCTTATTTGTAGTGTAATGTTTAAAGGTTAAAGGTCACCCTCCATCACTCTAACTCACCTCTGTGCAGGTGACATCAAAGCTGTAAATGGTGTTAGAGAACAAGTGTTGATCTAAAGGGGTGGGGGGGGTGGGGGGGGTCCTGACCTCCATGTAAGGCTCGGCCATTAAAAGAGGAGGGTGATGGTCAGACAGCTGGGGGGGGGGGGGGGGAGGAGGAGGGGGAGTGGAGTGGGGAGAGGGGAGGGGAGGTGTGTTCTGGGTAATTAGAGCTCGGCCCCCTCGTACGCTCTGACACTGTGGGGGATTTATTGCCCCGCTCGGGCGACTTGTCCACCCATCTAATTGCAATATTAGCGTGTAATAACGGCCGAGTTACGGCGATCCGTCAGCGCCGCGTTCTGCTGCCTCGGCAGGATTTCAGCCATTAACGGGTGCAGGCAGGAAACAAAGCGACCTCTGAGAGGAGCATCAGCGCACATTTATATTCACACACACACACACACACACACACACACACACACACACACACACACACACACACACACACACACACACACACACACACACACACACACACACACACACACACACACAGGCCTGTTAGTGACCGACAGCACCTGAGCATCTGAGCTTCAGTTGCAGATTCTAGTGCTTAAAGAGGACCCAGTTTCTTGGAGTTAAAGGGTCACGTCACCTAAATTACCAGGATATCTAGCTCCCTTTTACATTTTAGCGTATCTCTGAGATTTCAGCAGCTTTTTTTTGTTGCAGAGTGAAGGAACATAGAGTTCATATTTCTGCTCACAGCTCAGGGCAGAGATTAGTTACGAGTCAGTATTAAAACTGCTTGTTTAATTGAGATTGTTTAAGGGGGCACTTAACACTTGACACAGTTGCCCCGTACCATTCTGGCCTGCACTCACATTTCTCCAGGCCCAACCAAGCCTGAGCACAGTCACCTCATGTACATACATCATCCCCATACATGAAGTACCGCCGGAGTGCGCTGGAACCAACTTCTTTTTTTTTTTTTTCCAAGTGAGGAAATAGAATAATTGCAGTTTGAATAATCCGGTCACACTTTTTTTTGGAGTGGTTTAAGATTCAATGATCTGCATGTCATGCAAGAGAGAGATTACAAACAAACACAATGGTCATACATCATTTAGACATTCAACGTGGCTTGATCGATTCAAAATGTCAACTCTATCCACCTTAAAATGTCTGTCAGCTGTCAAATAGCAGCTATAGACTGAATCAGGGTGGCAGGGTGAATTTTCTCTTGTCTAACAAAAGATTTGACTGTAACTTTACTGACTTTGTTGCTCATTATGAGTCATTTCGGTCAGACACACTGCTCTAACACTCCTGGATTTCGTGATTATGCAAGGCAGGGATCGATTATACGTCATCTCCACGTTTCTTTCCAGTCCTCGTGCTCATGCGTCAGCAACCTTACCGTGTGGAGGCACACCTCTTTCACCATGCCAGGGCCACGGAGGTGTACCATGCTTGTGCAGCGTACAGATCACTCACATTAGTCACACTTACTGGACTTTGGGGGGTCAAACGTGCTTGAGCACAGTAGAGATTAGTGTGAGTGTGCTCTTAAAGCGTAGTCTGAGAGAAGTGACAGCATCCTGTGGTTAAGATAACACAGAAGAAACTTTGTATAATAATAAGTTTAACAGTTCTTGTGTAGTAAAGAATTAAAATACGGCAAAGAGGAGACGGCGGATAAACAATCAGTGAATATCAGCACGAAACATCACAACGATCAAATTTCCACACAAAAGCTTGAATAACAATGAATGAATCTGGGTGTGTTGGTGTGTGTGTGTGTTGGTGTGTGTGTGTGTGTGTGTGTGTGTGTGTGTCACTTTGATTTACCTATCTGAGGCGTGAATTCACAACATTAAACTGTTTTACTGTAGCTGCAGAGCGACATCATTTGCATGATGGGTCACTAAACACACTAAACCCACCCCCCCTCCAGCCCTAAGTTTAGTGTGTGTGTGTGTGTGTGTGTGTGTGTGTGTGTGTGTATCACAGGGGGGGGGGGTCACAGTAATAAATCCTCCATTTCTTAACAGGCTCTAAAATGCGGAGAAACAAGCAGAGCTGCAGTAAATCACACACACAGACTGACAGAGTGTGTGTGTCTGCACATATATGTGTGTGTGGGCATTAATATGCACACAATAACTGGGTGTCTGTCAGTGTGTGTGTGTGTATTCCCTTGGTTAGTGGACTGGTGTCGGTGTCCTGTTTCGTCCTAATTAAAGCAGCTCAGAAACAAGGAATGGAGACAGAAAATGATTTCAGACATTTTACAGCAGCGGCAAAGTTTCTCCTGAATGTTACACAACCTGATGTTACAACAAAGATAACACATAAAACTACGCTGCTGCTGTAAACCACAACACCCTGTGAAAGAGATCAAAGTGAAGGGATCAGGTGTGTGGTCATTTTTTCATTCTTTCCCAGCTAGCTTCCTCACTGAATCTTCACACACAGAAATGAATCTTCTTCCTGGACAATGATAAACACACCTTCCCTCTCCTCAGTGACCTGCACTTTAACAACACCAGAAAACCGGACTTTGAAGTCCTTCATGATCCATGCAGAATATTAATCTTACCTCCATGTTGACCCAAGACCACAAGCTTCTTTCCATCAGCAGCTAAAGCCTGCTTTATACTTCTGCATCGAATCCTCGCCAATCTAACCAAATCTGTCAAGTCTGCTGGCCAATATCTGAAAGTGTATTTCCTCATCCAGATCTCTCTATGGCCAAACAATTGCAATAAAAATCCCCCGTCCCCTGCCTGAACTGACGCAGCAGCCATACACTCCAGACACTCCATCTCCTCCGATGTCTCCTCGTTTTTCTTCTTTGCAATAACTGAGTAAAATCGACTGCTGATCAAAACTGATCAGCTGCATCTTCAACATGAAACGCTTCAACTTAACACAACTCTGACATCTGAAAGACAAACCCAGGAGAGAAACAAACTAAATATACTCCGCTCCAAGCTACAAAGTACAAATGTTTTACTGTGGTCTCATGAACACACATGAGTTTATCACACAGGCTTCTTTGGGGGGGGGGGGTCCAACCATGGACTAAAAATATCACTTTGTTATATAGGTATGAAATTAAAATAACAGAAAATCTAAACAATTTCCAAATACAGATTACGAGGTAATACAAGTACTGTAAAAATATTTTTTTCGATGAAACACAGGACAGTCTTTGTACCCACAATGCCTTGTGTCTATACATGTTGATGGAGGTGTTAGAGTTGGACGTATAGAATCCATCTCATGTGTGAGAGGACACACAGAGAGGTGACAAAAACTCTAAAAACACCCATCAGACACACACGTACACAAAACACACACACACACCTTGAGGTGAGAGGACACAGGGTGTGTGTGTAGTGTGTTCATATGTGCTTAGGTGTGTGTGTGTAGGTGTGTGCGGTATATACATCATGGTGTGGATGAAATCTCCATTCTGGTGTGTACCAACATGAGTGCACTCTATGCATTGTGTCTTATATGTAAGGTGTGTTTATGTTTATTGTTGTGTATCACCTGTTTGTGTGTGTCCTGGCTGTAGTCCAAAGCTTCTCTAACGAGCCAACATGGAGTTGATACTGAACCCCCTCTACTCCTGACCTCCTCTGAGGTCATCAGTTACCCCCGCTGTCACTGACCAATCATGGCCGGGCGTTGTGACAGAGAGACGCTGACTCCAAGGACACGGGGGCGGAGGGATTAGATTGGCGAGGACGAGCGCGGCGTTAATAAAAGGAGTATGACGCTGAAGTTTGGAGCAGTCTGATTGGCTAACAGAGTTCATATTCACTTTTAGAAGGTTTCTCGTGGTTTCTGTCTGATATTCAATCAGACAGAACGAATCAAAGTCAGAGCAGCAGTTTGTTTCAGACGTATGTGGCAGAAGTAACACAGTCTACAATGATTATGTTTTTTTTCTTTTTTATCACAAACTGCATCGAAAGTCATTTCAAATGTGCTTTAAGGTGACATTCTGCAATATTTTGGAGTGAAATGAATATGAGAAAAATACTCTGAAACCCTAAAAGAGAGACTGTCACACTTGAGGCCCAAAGTCTCACTCCTTTTAAGTGTCACATATCTGCCATATCTCATCTCATCACACCTCAGTGTCCGGATCTTCATCTCAGAATTCAGGCTGTCATGGACAATTTCCTTTTAGCACCTTGGCGTTTATCAAATTATTTTGAAAAAACAGAAAAGACCATGAGAAATGGTCACTCACGAGCCTTAAGTCAGCCTTTAGTTTACCTTTATTTGTAAAAGAAAAAAGTTGATCAACATTGACAGAATGACATCTCTGCCACAGGTTTCAAGTTTATTTAAAGCCGTAGAAGACGATGATCCTGATCAGCTGATTCAGAGAAGACAACAGTTCATGATGAAAAACTATCCAACAACAAAACTCGTCTACAGCGAGAGAAAAAAAGTGAACCGTGAACAAATCAGAGAGAGTAAGATCTTAAACATGAAAGTGAGTCACACCCAGAAGCTTTTCTTACAAAGTTGACTGCTTTGAAAATAAACCTTTCACAATTTGAGCTCCTGATGTAAAATGAACGTCCTGAACTGAGCCATAAAAAACCATGAATCAAACAGTGTTTGGGTGTGTGTGTGTGTGTGTGTGTGTGTTCAGCATAAGTAAGTAGACACACAGCATAAACAGAGAGAGAGAAAGAGAAGCAATTAAAAAGTGAGGTCCTACCTGTCGATGATTACGGGGTCAGAGGGCGTCTCGTTGCGGTTTCCACAGCTCTTCTTGTCACAACACCGACTGAAAGAGAGAACGACACAGATCAGGTGAGTTCAGGGAGTTTATCATAAAAACAAACACTTTACTTAAACACACAAGTTTAACACACAAGAAAAAGAGCAACACAAAGAGACAAAGACACAAAAAGAGAGCGCTAACTTTAGCATGTTGCTGCTTCAACAACAGCAGCAGCTACCGTTTATTTTGTGGCACTCGACATGTTTCACTTGAACTGATTTTATTTTTTCCTTTTGCTGTCACTAGTTTTAAAAATGTAAATAAAAAATAAATTGATACTCATAGATAACACTGCAAAACTATTCATCCTGTGAAGTCCTTTCTAGGTTTGTAAATAATCTGACTGAAGCCCCTCTCTGTCCAAAACAGAGGGAAACAAAAAAAACTTTACAGGGAATGAAACTATTTCTGACAAAAAGACGACCAAGACGGACGTTTTTTGCAGAGAGCACATTCACGCATTAACAATAATAGTTTGTAAAGTGTCCCATCAGGAATCCCATTCATACACATTCACACACCGCCAACAAAGCAGCAGGAGCAAGGGTTGGGGTTAAGTGTTGGAAATGTGGCTTCAGGAGCTGGGGATCGAACCCCAGACCTTCCTGTTGAGAGATGACCAACTCTTCCACTGAGCCACAGCTGCCCCAGAGGGACATAATGATGCAAAGGCATGCATATTATGTTGAAACAAAAACTGAGACTTAAAAGCAAATTCTCAAATCAATAAAGTTCAACAAAATCAATAACAAACAGACAGTTCAAACTTAAAGGCCTGTAGCTTTTCTTTGAGGAACATGGACGCCACAAACTTCCCCATAACTGTTTTATTATTAACTAGTTCCCTCGTGGAAACATTCAAGAAAGCCCACAAAATAAAGAGTATATCTTCAAAATGCCAACTTTTATTTTATTAAAAGTAGTCCTGTTATCTCTTCACACAAACACAGTCACACAAAACAAACTCTCTCTCTCTCTCTCTCTCTCTCTCTCTCTCTCTCTCTCTCTCTCTCTCTCTCTCTCTCTCTCTCTCCAGCTGGGTGCAGTCCAAGCCAAGGTCACTAACAGTTGGACGACGCCCAGCGATGGAGGCATCATTGTGGACCCCCCCCCACCATCCCCCACCTGACCCCCGGCACCGTAGCCCCTGACAACCAGCCAGCCAACCGGACAGCTGCTCGCCAAACGGCCGTCCAGGTAGCCAGAGGGCAAATTGACCACCGAGCGTTTTCATCGAGTCCAACATGAAACTGAAACCAAAAAAGGAGCTGCTCCCCTTTTCTGTGGAGGCATCCGCAGGGAGAGCGTGAGGGAAGGGAAGGAGCGCTGGGTTTATATCTCAGCTCTGCAGGGGGCAGGTGGAGCTAAAACAGGCCTGTGGTGGGCAGGGTCAGTGTGGCATGTTTAACAGCGGAGGATCGAGTCCAGTACATTAATATCCATCAAACAAACCTGCTGCATGGTCTGAGTGATGAAGTGTTTGAATGTGCTGCGTGTCAAGACGGCCGGAGGCTGTCAGTGAATATTTGGAAACCTAAATACTAAATGTTGCTGCTTCTTTTAAAGCCCATCCAGGGTCAGATAGTGCAAAAGAGTTTATCCGAATAAAAACGATCCAGTTATTGGTAATCCAGTCTTTTTCTACCATGGATCAGGATTGGATCTACCTGATCCAGGAAGAGACATTTAAGGATTACCAAATCTAGATTACCAGAACTTTAAAGGGGACTTCACACTTCCACAAACACACAGAAAGATCATCATAGCTGCTTTAAATGAAATATCTAATGTTTGATGTCGATGCTTTTTTTAAAATCCTTCATGTTTTAAAATCCTAATGTGTACCTCGTCTACTCTGCCACTGAAGCAAAACATCTTTCTAGGGCAAAATATATTTCAGAAAAGGTTAAAAAAAAAAAAGAAGAAGTTTTGTTTGACCAAGAACATAAATATAATAATAATAATGCTTTCTTTAAAAATATAACTTCATGCTTTAATGTTAAACCTCAAAAACTGTAAAGACTATGCATGTGACTGATTTTACATCTTTGATTCTCTGTTATTATTTATGCTCTTTAACTTTGGAGCAACGTGGCCTAAGAATATTCTTTTGAGAGTAAGAAAGTTCTTAAATCATCCTGTCTCTAAGTTAATAAACTGTTGCAGTATGCTTTCTGCTTTTTATTTACATTTCTGTGCTTATTTCCTAACAAATTAAAGACACATGAACACACTTGTAAATTAAACTGACTCTGATTTAAAATGTCTGCTGTGTCATTTAAGATCAAGAGTTTTAAACTGTGGTGTTTCTGATTTGATGGTTTCTTACACTCAGTCACGTTCAGCCTCAAAGGGAAACTTTCACACTTTTTAACCTCCAATGAGACAGAAATGTGCGAGGTTTGTCAAAATTCATTCATGACACTAAACATTGGTGATCTGAAATGTAAATGTGACGGAATCCTTCGTTAAAAACAACTAAACTACCCTGACACGATAACCCGACAAGCTGCTCTGCACCATCCATCCGCGTCCCCCCTCATCGCTGTGAGGGTCATTAACATATCTTCCGGTAATTCTTAAAAATTAATCATATTGCATCTGACCCGCGACGTCCAATTACGCTCCTGCGTCGGCCCCACGCTGGCCTGAATCAAATTGCCATTTGACAAACAAGCGTCAAATCGAGGCTGCGAATGCCAAATGAGACGCGTTATGAATCATTTATCGCGCCGTTTGATCTCTAAGTAGAGAAAAATCAGAAACTAAGCACTGTGTTTGTGTCTGAATGGATAGTGTGTGATTGTGTGTGTGTATGTGTGTGTGTTTGTGTGTGACTGTTGCCATAGAACGCGCCACAATAATTTATTCCCCCAGCTACTTGGAACCATTAGTGAAAGTTCCAGGAGACCAATTAGCATTGGAAACCCACTGGTGCTGCTGTGGTGACAACCTCCTCCAAACTGCCAAAGAAGTGTTATAAACAAACCGGACCCCAGGAGCACTGCCGGGGCCCCTCCAGGGACCCGGGGCCCCTTTCCAAAGACGAAAACAAACCTTGGCTGAGCGTCCACAATATCGCCTTAATGACGTTTCCCCCCGGGCCGCAAACAGGCTAACACCACGGCCGGCTAATGACTGAGAGGAACAACACACAGACCTGAGAGGAGTGTGAAGCTCCAAGTGTGTGTGTGTGTGTGTGTGTGTGTGTGTGTGTGTGTGTGTGTGTGTGTGAGGTTAAAAAAACAGTAAAAATAAAACAAACAGTGTGTGTTTGTGTTGTTTTTGGTGCTGTCACTCATTTTGGCGCAGAGATTTCTCATCGGCGCTACAGAAGCTGGAAGCGTCTCAGGTCGCAGTGCATCCACATCACACAGACACACACACACACACACACACACACACACACACACACACTTAAGGCCTTAAAATAATTCAGCCACAGGAGCCAGTTTGGCCGACGAGGCTCAGTCAGGCCACACAGGCATCATTACCGCTGGCTGCCCCTCCTCGGCCACTTCAGACGTCTCCACAAGTGGAATCTACTTAAAGCACAAAGAGAAGGTTTGTCTGCGCCGCACTATCACACACTCACAATAAAAAAAATAAAAAAAACATTGAGCCAGCCCTTCAAAGGCTCCCAGAGGGCCATGCAGTGCGGCGTCAGAGGCCGGCACTCGGATCACAGCGTCCAGATAACCGGGCCGACAGCACAGGGCTCACTTTCAAAGGGCAAGTGTTGTAATTACCCCAAGGCTCTGAAACGTTCCGGCAGCCAGGCTCGATGATTCGCTCTGCCTGCCAGCAGCCGGCGAGCCAGCACCGCCTGGCCGGGACCGCGCTTTCCCTCTCGGTGAGCGTGGCAGCAGGTTTTTCTCAGCATTGCCCCGAGCCTGGCAGCCAGCAAGGGAGCGAGGTGTCGGCGAGGCAAGGCGAGGAAAGCGGCCTAGAGCTGGCGAGCCTCTGGGAGCCCGCTGGCGCCGCCAGTGTGCCAACCTGGCTGCCACCGCCGCGCCTGCTCACTGGTTTGTGATTTGGTAGTTTTGGAAAGCAGCACGGTCCCGTTTAAGAATGGTTAATGTGCCGCAATAGCAAGATGGAGAGGTCACAGCTGACACACGCTGACACACACAAACACACACACACACACACACACACACACACACAGCGAAAAAGCTGCAGAAGAGTGGATTTGTTTTGGGCAATATTTGCAGGAAGAGAGCCAGATTCATCATGTCCTACTGCTCCGAAAAAGTGAATCTTCTTATAAACTTCAGCTGTCACAAAGTACAACATTCCCGCTCTCCAAGATGGAGTCATTTAGTTTGTTTTGCAATTTATTCTACAGCTGTTTGTATGACACTTTAGGCTTTCTGAAGAGTTGTGCACATTTTTCATTCCTAATTCAACAAACGTGGCGGAAACTTTTTTTATTGAACTGATGCTTCGTTAAGCCATCTTTGACGTCTCTTTAAGAAAAACAAGGTAGCGTCTGTTTCAAGGTACCGTTTGGCTTCTACTTTCCATTTTAAAGGTACCCTAAGTGTCTGTTTTTTTTATGCTCTCTACCAGATTATAAATCATTTATAAGTTACCATTCAATATCTGTTTTCTCCCTTTCTAACACTTTCTGTCGTTTTAGCCCTCTGGAGGCAGATTTCTTCTCTTACAGCAAAAGACTTTCTTGAGGATCCACTAAAGTGTCAATCAATCTTTATTTGTTTACCGTCAACTCACAACAAGTGTTATCTCGAGACACTTTACAAAAAGCAGGTAAAAGACCTCACTCTTTGTTATTTAATATTACAAAAGAGCAGGTGTCTGTTTTTTTTTTTGCTGTCTATGACTGCTTCAGGTTCCACTGCACTCAGATCTTCTGTGTCTGAAACTCGTGGTCAGGAGGGTTTTGAGGGAACCCCTTATGCAACGGTTTTCTAATTTGCATGTGGTCAGGTGATGTTAAGGAACCCTTGAGAATGTGTTTTCTTTTTTTCCTTTCTGTTTTGTGCGATGTTCATGTACTTCTTAGTATCTCTTTCTTTCTTTAGTGTAACAAGAAAGAACTGTTTTGCTTTTTTCTTACCCATGGTTAGATTTGCTAAGTATCGATTAGCATATCATTTCTTTCTTTCTTACATGGTCTGAGGTCTGTTTGAAGGAACCCTTACGTCTACGTTCTCTTTCTCACATCATGATGAGAATGTTTGGAGTTATCTGTTCTTATTTTATCTAACACTTTGTAAGGGTCTGAGTTCAGGAACCTTGAGCATCAGTTGTTTTTCTTAAACCAGGTTGTTGTTTTAAAGGATACCATTTAATGCCTGGCTCATAAACACCTTGCACGGGTTAATAAACGTAGAGTGGGGTAACCTACAGTATTTGGAGTCAAACCCTGGCCTCATCATGATTGCGTGTATGCTTCATGAAGTACAGCACATAACCTTTTATCGGTGTAGGTTCAGAGAGTGGAGCAGAACAGACTTTTTTCCTGGGGTGTTCCTTCACCTGTACTCTCTGACACAGGTGTTACACCTGAAAGGTGCAGCCTGCTAAGTGTGATCCAGGTAGACAAACCAACAGGGACGCCCATAAAGACGAGCTCACCTGGGATGGACGGAGACAGACAGGGACGGAAAGAATGATCTGTGTCTCATTAACGAATGGAAACACAGCGTCCATCAGGGAGAGCTGTTAATAATCTCACTTAATCACGACTGAAGCTCAGAAACAAACACACACACACACACACACACACACACACACACACACACACACACACACAGGCCATTGTGTACATTTTATCACAGGAATCTTACAGAGGATTAAAACTCGCTGATAAAAGTCAGAGGAGTGAGTGAGGACAAACTGTTGTTACAAACACAGCTCCCTGCTCCAAAACAAACCTAAATCTGTGCAACAACTTTAATCCAAAAGTCAAGACGACTCTCACTGTTAGAAAAATGATTGACTCAGCAACCTCCAACATGTCTGCCTTTAACCAGTTAACTTCATATTAATATACATTATTATTATTATTATTATTATGGACCGGTATAGGTTATATTTAGATTCACTCCAGTCATCAAACATCATATTTAAACAAGATGTTAATGAGTAACCAGTGATGTCAGTGATCATGGACAGAGATTTTTCCAGTTTAGCATCTGACTTTGATTCTGACCTTCGTTTTGAATACTATGAAAATAAAAATACCGTCAAATGTTTCTTTCAATTCAAACAACTCTCCAAAATAAGAGCCTTCCTCTCTCCCACTGGTTTGCTCAGTTATCCATCACTTCTCATTTAGATTATTGTGATGCACAGTTACAGATATCAGTCAGCGCTGCCTCCACTGACTTCAACAAGTTCCTGCTGATTTCTTTTTCTATTTTTTTTCTGCTTTATCTGTGAAGCACTTTGTAACTTTGTTAAGAAAAGTGCAACATATATGATATGTGATATCTCAACCAGTTCATTGTAAACCTACACTTCAACACTCCCAGTTCATTCTACACATCTACCAGTTAAATCTAACATATAAAATCAAAATCTTGAGCCAGTTCCCCCAAACTGGGACCAGTTTGATGAGAAACCAGTTCGGTCATTTTTAATCAGACATGATCTTTGTAAATTTAGAAGGAGAAGCATGTTATCTCCAAAAAACATGTTGAGAAAAACAAAACATCAGCCTGTTGTGTGTGTGTGTGTGTGTGTGTGTGTGTGTGTGTGTGTGTGTGTGTGTGTGTGTGTGTGTGTGTGTGTGTGTGTGTGTAATATTTTTATCCTCCTCCTCCTCTTCCCTCCTGTCTGAGCAGTAAAAGCATTAACTCTCAGACAGCAGCAGAGACACGCAGGGCAGGAAACGTGTTGATTGCTGTGATGAACGACGACAAACCAACAGCTGCTCTTTTTTTCTCTTACAGATACACACACACAAACACACACACACAAACACACTACACACACACACACACACACACACACACACACACACACACACACACACACACACACACACACACACACACACACACACACACACACACACACACACACACACACAAACACACAGGTGTTGTCATGATACCTTCTGTGAGTGTAGAATATCTACAGTGATAATCTTTTTGCTCATTTATTGATACATTTTTTTAAAATATTTATTTTAGTTTACTCACTTTTCAGATTAATATTTTACATTAAACACGGATGTTAACTACAACCTAGGGGATCCATTTTTGGGGATCACTCCTGTGGATTACCTCATCCTGCAGCAGTGAAACAGGCTGTAATGTCAGCAACTATTCATTGATGGATCAAAGCGTGTCCACCGAAAGTTGTTTTTGCCACTGACAGGCTCAGATTGTTATTCTAAGTGTCTGACAACATTAACAGACAGGATCCCTATGGTTACATTTTCAGTACTAAGTATGTAGTTCACTTCTTCCCGGGGTAGATCACCATGGTAACTAATGCTGAACACCTAGCATGCTCCGGAGCAGGTTACGGTCTGCTTAAGAGATCAACCTGAAATTCCGCCTATCGACCAATCAGATCTCTTTATAGTGGAGCTCTGTGAGATGATCGTGAGAGGGGAGGAGGGAGAGAGACCGACAAACACTCTGTGTGTCCCGTGTGATTTTACATTATCTTACATTTCTTAAAGTGATTTTGATTTATCAGGTTGATAAGCAGCTTTGTGTGATCTCTTAAATCAGGATTAGTGAAGCCAGCGATCACATTGATACTCTGGGTATGTTGAACTGGCTTCATCGTAAAGGCTCCAGGAGTTACTTCTCTTCTGCTGTGTCAGTTATTTTAGATATTTTTCTGTGTTCTAGTGTGTAACATAAATATTGCATCTAGTACCAAGGGTTAATTTAAAATACCATCGTTTATTAAATCAAACTTACCAACCAATCAAGGCAGAGGTAGACCAGCACCTCCCTTGTTCTGTGAGGTAAAATGACAGATTTTGTCAATGTAGTCTGGTGTGTTTGTAGAGAGTGATGTAACAGCTGATCCTGCTTAAAATCATCTTCCTCTTTTAAAAAAAAGGTAAATCTCTGTAGGGATCCTTTCTGTAATGTTCTCAGAAAATTAGAATAACAATCTGAACCTGTCTGTGACAGAAATAACTTTTAGTCGAGGTTTTCTTTGCACTGTTATCGTTTGCAGTGTGATAGCTGAGTTGTTTGATTTCTGGTGTGAAAATTGGATCAGATTCAATAGTTAAAAGATTATTTTGTTTTACATAAAGAGTATACCCACTGAACTTTATTGTCTTTACATGGGAGTTCATGTGCTGAAGGTGTGTTAAAGGTGTAACGGCAGTACTGATCGCACCACGTAACACCAAAACATAACATGTTGTCTTTATCTTCTTGCGCTGACAGTCCAAGACATGACAGCCACACTGTTAACACAAACACACACACAGACACTTCCTTCCTGTGCAGCATAATTAACACCCTACACACACACACACAGCACTGTACATTCATCAACAAAACCATTCCAACCTCCAACAACACATACACATACAGTGTGACTATATTGCACGCTGCTCTGATTAAATCCTTTGTATACGATTGTAGATATTTCAGATCACCTGGAAACTAAAATGTAAAAGTTCCCAGCTCGACTGCAGCCAGGTCTCCTGCCACACAGCCACCTGGCAGCTGAGAAGCTCCTGCGAGGCAATAATCAGGGTTTGTTATGGCCCGTGTCTTACCTGCACATGATCTCGTGGGTGAGGAGGACACGACACATCTCTGGGTTCTTGTCCTGACCTTCATACAGGATGGGCTGAGGAGACACACACACACACACACACACACACACACACACACACACAGGTCAGACGAAATATAAACCAGTTTAAAGAATCCATATTAACCAGTTTTTTTTTTCATATCTATACCACTTTACTTTACATTGAAACTACTTTATAAACAAATGTACTGAGAAACCAGTTCACCCATAAGCTAAACCAATTAACAGCATATTTCAAGCGATTTACTCAAACCAGTGTAAACCAGTTTAGAAATACACTTTCATTTTTTAAACCAGGGTGTCAAAACGTTTATTTTTTTTAAATGAATGTGTATGTAACGTCTGTGGCTTTTGAAGCCTCAAGGGGACGCCTCCTCATTGGTGTCATTTTTGAAAATTAGGGTTAGTTTAGTTAAACAGTTTAGAGTAACTAAGCTGGTTTTGTGAGTTTGTGAACCAGTTTAAACCCCATTTTCTTTTCTTTTTTTCACACTTCACCTACATATTATATTCATTAGGATTAAGATAAACCAGTTTAGTGCAGGTGGGACCAGTTCAGAGTGTGAATAAACCTGAGCTGGTATTCCCTTTTATTTTGTTCCCGAAAAACAAAGTCAAAGATGGCCGCCAACCACAAACCCGACTCCCCTCCTCCTTCCCTCTCGGTGGTCTCAGCCTCCTCCGGCCTTCCCAGAATTCCCTGCCAGATGGCGGGCGGCGCCCCAGGATGAAGCCCCCCCCTCCTCACCCCCACCGAGCTGTCATGTCAGCGTCCGGATGACGGATGACCGCTGAGTGTGTGTATGTGTATGTGTTTCTTTTTGTAATGCCCCTGGTGGTTGCAAATGAACTCCAGTAAGTAAGTGTGTGTGTGTGTGTGTGTGTGTGTGTGTGTGTGTGTGTGTGTGTGTGTGTGTGTGTGTGTGTTTGTGTGCGCGCATCCTTCCCTCTATTCCTACAATGACCTACCACTACCTCATCCACCTTTATAGTCAAAACAGACCTCCGCCCTGCACACACACACACACACACACACACACACACACACCCTGGGGGACAATACTTTTAGGATAACGACCTCTCCTGCATTATTGATCCCGGTCCTGGCTCTGTTCCTCTGGATTAAAACGCTCCAGTTTGACCAGCAGGGATTGCATCAGACACACACACATTACTCAACAATAACACACACATATACACACACACATATACACACACACAGTCTGTGTGTAGATTTGGAGGTCAATATTTATACATCATCATTCCTGATGCAAGAATCCCACCAGTGTGTGATTGTATGTCTACTTTTAAGACAGTTTTTGTGTCCACATTCAGCAGTGAGCCTGTGCTTTTTATTTCTATCTCTGTGAGGACCAGCTGCAGGTAAACACTGTGAGGACCAGCTGCAGGTAAACACTGTGAGGACCAATAAGTGAGGAAACTTTTTGAGAAAGTGGAGACGTTATGGAAAGTAAGACAAGTGTTTGAGGGATTGTTGCTCAAGAACATAGTCTCTTAAGTGGGAACATTTAAACAAATTGTGGATATTTTAGATCATTTATTGGAGATTTGGGAACTTTTATTGGGAACTGTTTTGACTATTAATTGGAAAAATAGGAATGTTTTTTTGTTTTTCTGAAAAACTCAGAACTTGACAGATCTCTCTGAGGGACATTGAGATTTATTCATTAAGACTTAAAGAAATGAAAAGGCTGTTCTGGTGGGTCCCAATGTCTCATCGTTCAATAGGGACCAGAGGTCATGGCTTGAGAAAGAGGAATTCATTATTTGAAAATTGAAAAATATTCTAAATTCAAAAACAGCTCAGTGAAAGTGGAGACATTGAAGATACTGTGTAAAAAGTGTGGATAGTTTTGATGAAATCAGTACATTTTGGAAAACTGACACAATGTTTGGAAGGCAAGGACATTAGTGAATAAAAACAGTTTCTGAATGTGAGAAAAGTTTTCCGGAGGTCTTGAGAGGAAGAGATAAAGTTTTTGCAACGTGAGAAAATGTTTTGGAACGTAAAGATCATTTTTAAAAGGCAGAATGTTAAAAAAAAAAAAAGGACCGAAATTTTTAGGGGAAAACAAGTGAAGTGAGGACTTGTGTGAGTTAGTTTTACAAGTTGTAGTCGATTATGATGATCTTTTGTAAAATTGTTGTTGTTTTTTTTTTAGAAGGCGGAGCTAGTGAGAGTTAAATATTGCAATTTTTAAAAACCATTTGGATACTGTTTTTATCCAGAAAGTGAAAACAAATCATAAAAGTCAGGACCTGTTTGGACACTCAAATCGCCAAAAAGTGAAGAACATCTTTTTTTAATTGTGAAAAATTCACGATATTTTGTGAAACGTGAGGATGGTTTGACTTCCTCTTTTGACATAAAGTTCAACCAGAGCTATGACAGCAGCAGTCACACTGAGACCCTCAGACTGTTAGACTGTATAAAGGTCGAGTCGGGGTCCTCGTGTGAGGTGAGGGTCTCTCCACAGTTTAATCTGCATTAATGCACCTCTGACTCGCTCTGACTCTGGGACTCTGACGGCCCTTGACGGGGTCTTATCGATCTGTGGGGACTCCAGTCAACCCGTCTGTCAGCTCTGACTGCCTACCAATGGAGTGTCGAGTAGTGGGAGGTGAAGGTGTGTGTGTGTGTGTGTCTGTGTGTGTGTGTTTGTGTGTCACAGAGGAGGACGTGTCAGGATTATTGTCTCCTGTGTGCCGTCGCTGTGCCACATTAGAGCGTATTGATCGGTTTCCACGGCTGACGCTTTGTTGAGGAGCCGCTCGGTACATCGATCGGTGACATGCCGACAGGCTCGAACCAAAAGGGGAGGGGGGGGTTATAAGATGATGATATGGGGGGGGATGTATCTAAGGGGAAAGGTGGAGGGTTATACAAGTGTACATGATTCATATGACTTTATTTGATGTTTATGGGGGATAATAATTACATACTAAAAATCTGTTTTCCCCCCAAACAACAAAGAACCAGTTTCACTGTACGTCTGCAGGTTTTATTCATTTATTATTCTGCAGTTTTGTTTGGAAGATTGCATCAGGAAAGTACAAAATGTACTTTTGATCAAAGTCCTGCATCATAATCTATTTAAAGGTACTTTTTTAAATCTAGTTTCAGTGCATTTGCTTCCTAAATAAAGTGTTGTTTTAAAAAGGAAGTGTTCCAATATATGGTTACAGGTTGGTTTCTACTGAGTGCAGTTAACTCTACAGGAACTTGAACACCTGTATTACACATTTACACCCCTACCTATATTTTACATTTTAATTTATCTGAGACTTTATTACAAATGTTAAGCTACAAATGTGGATGTATACTTCTTTTATCCATCCATGCATCTACCCATCTATCTAGCCATCCATCCAACTATGGCTGACAGAGGTAGCTGCCTAGCTGTAAACTTGAGTTTTGGTTGTAAAAAGATATTGCACAAAAAGTAATGTCATTGAATTATCACTGATAATTGTCAGGAATTTTGCAGTAAAATATCAGCAGTTATTCTCTTGCATAATCATAATCAAGTCTTATGATGCTGTACTGTAGAGGGCCAATGGTAACTGGTTACATAACTTTGGCAAAAGCAGGGTATTGTTCTATTGAACTTAGGGCTGGAGAATGAGGGGTTTACATGACCACAATATAAACTCATCTAGCCATGGACCAGTGTCTTCTGTACCAGTCGTGCATATAGCCATAAGATACATGATGCAGACAGAGCAGGGAGTAAGGAATGGGGAAATTATCATAGTATCTAAAAGTGTTTTTTAGTGTTCTTATTTAAACGGTTAAACTGAGGCTTTAAGGGCAGCAGGAGAATCTGGAGCTGAGTGAACTGCAGGAATGAAGCGCGGAGGTCGACTGGCAGGACGGACTGAAATATGAAAATATTTGGGGTTGTTTTTTTGTTTTTTTTTCTTGGCAGAGAAAGCTTTCACAGGTTCAGATCCCACACAGGGGTTCTGAGTGAGTGAAAACCGGAAAGGTGGGAGGAACAGGAGGATCTGGAGTCAGCTAAAGAACGAGCTGCACGGCTGGAAAGGAAAACATATCAGAGCTGTGAGAGTTTAAGAAAGGAGGAGGGGAGGAGGAGGACGGGTTAAGAGGAGACTTTTTCTTGTAAAAAAAGAGATGTTTCTAAGGGTTAGGTGAAGTTACAGAGTGTAAGGAAAGAGTCTGGGGCTGTAAGGAGGAAAGATTTGTTTGATTAAATGTTTAATAATTGGGCTTGTGTGAGGTGAGGGCAGGTTTCTCGAGTCACAGTGGGTCAGAGTAAATTAGTGGTTTTAGTTGGCTTTCTTAGGTGGAAACCAGCTGAGCTTCTGCAAAAGTACTCAGGGTTGGAGAAATATTTCCAGTTTGCAAAACATCTTAAAATATGGACGCTCAGAGTAGACATTTATTTAAGGCTTACTCACGCTTCCCTGGTGTGGAGTCTGCAAAGTGACACATTACTCCTATTATTAACGTTGGTAAGAAAGTTGTTCCGTTAAATAACCGAACGCTAATACCAAAATCTAACCCCTATTATTATGAAATCCTGACATTGCTTCCAAACCACTCAGTCATTATCAGCTCACTGTAACTTTCCCCTCACTTTAGGAAGTGTCCTCTGTGAGCAGTGAGCCCTGATCCTGATGCTCTCCGTCTGCACTCTGTTCTTTTCCCTCCATTCTTCTTTAACACCTTCAACTTTGCATGATTGTCTTTTTCAAATTCAATAACCCTGCTCAGTGTATCAGCACATCACATCACCTTTACACCCCTGTACAGTATGCTTATATATTAACACCAAATAAATTAACAGTAATTACATTTTAGTGTATAATTCAATATTTCTAAGTAGTGTTTTTTGAGGTATATATTTCACCCTTCTAGCATAAGGGTTTATTAACGGTGCATTTCATTTTCCAGTGCTGCATTTTTGCTCTGAAAAGCTGCCATAACACAACAATTTATCAGTTTAGGATCAATCTAGAACATAAACCTGTCCGATATCTATCTTTGTTTTGTGTAGCGTTATCGCACATTTAAAGAAAACTCCTGTCTGCGTCATTTTTACGCACGACACCATGGTAGGACTACGAGGGGAAACAAACATGTAAAAACTGTCCGCAATAAGGCGATAAAACAGAAGCATGTTTAGGTTAACTGTGAGAAAAGAGTGTAGAAACAGAGAGCGGCGTCTGACCCACATCAAAAGATTGTTCAAATGTCAACAGATGCTGAAAATGTGAGAGACCCCACACATGACGACAAATAATCATGGATGAAACAGTTTTGTTCCTGTAGTGTGTGGTGGGCTGATTTGGTCACGTCATTGCGCTCTACACACTCTTTATGTTTATTCAACAACATCCAGAGTCCTGACACTCAAAACTGGAAAACCTTGTGAAATTTCCATCGTCAAACACGACTTTAGGGTAAACAAACATGGCAGAAATTCCCAAAGAAGGAATTGAAACTATGGATAAAGACGTGGAGATGGTGTGAACATGTGCTGTACATTGTACAGAGCAAACTGGAGGTGAGTCAAAACTGATTAACTCTGGTTGTTGTGCTTCCTTCTTTAGTCAGCTAGCTCCCTGATTGGCTCTTTTTGTTCATGTGACAATCCTTGGCGTGCGTGCTCTACTGTCCTCGAGATTCCCAACAGCCAACAGGAGATCAGATAGTATTAAACATGTCTAATGTCTACTGTGTCGTCACTGATTTTCTCTTTATTGGATTTTTTAAAGTGGTCGAGGTGTCAGTTGTGGCTTTAGGTGTGAGGTTTAGTATCTTCTCACCTGTTTGGTCATGGAGTCGATGAGTCGAACAAAAAGATCCTGTTCTGTCCTGATGCCTGAAAAACACAAAAAGCACACACAAATGAGCCGAGCACACACACACACACACACACACACACACACACACACACGTTTTCAGTCAGAATGATGTGAGTGTGAGCGAGACTGTCTGCCTGACGACACACAACATACATTCATGCATTAGCCTGAAATGCTAATTTGATCTCAGTCTGCAGGAAGAAAAAAAAAAAAAAAAAAAAAAACAAAAGCAGTGATTCGTAATAATGTTCAGTAAATGAATTCTCTTATTATTTATGTCCCGGTTGTGTGTTTATGTTTGTGTAGCTTCTTCTTGTCGTCTCGTCCCGACTACGCTAACACCCCCCTCAGCAAAAACAAACATTAGCGCTGCTCCAGAGCTGTTTATTATTTATAGGCCAAACCCGCCTTTAACTGCAGAGCCCTCCCCCCTACGCTCCCCCCCTTCATCTCCCCCCCCCCCTGCTGCCTTTTTCCTCAAGGATAACAAGGAATCCTCATTCTCACACAAATTAAATATCAATCAGGATTGCTTGTCTTTTATTAGCTATGCATCCGAGCGTAAATGTGACACGAACACGACATGGGGTGGAGGAAGCAAATTGCAGGGAACACCTGTTAGCGGGCGCAGCAGCTCTAATTGCATTCAGTGGCTTCGGGTTTATTTTCTCCTCCTTGTTTGTCGGGCCGTTTCCTCGCAGCTTCCTGTGCTTTCTAATTGACATGATTCACTCCTCGCTCCGACGCCGAGTGTGAGCAGTCAGCGGCATTAAATGGCGGCTATCCGTCCCGCTTGCAGATGAGGTCAATTACCTCCGTACGATGCTAATCCGACGATGCCGCCTCATATTAGAGTGATTTATCCCCCTTTGGAAGAAAACACTCTTTTATGTCTCACTTTATCTGCGGCTCCTGCAGGGGTCTGAGTGCAGGGCTGGAGCGGAGCCAGCGCAGAGACGAGTGTATGTTTCCACTCTCTCTCCCCCCCCCATGGACAAACCAGAGTTCAGGTTTAGTTAGCTGTCCGATACTCCAGATGCTCTCTCTCTCTCTCTCTCTCTCTCTCTTCTGTCTCTCTGTGCTGATAATAAAAAACTTTTCCACTGAGGTGACCTTTAATATAAATTCCTTCTCTACAAATTCTGAACTCTAATTCATGCAGCAAAGTTCAGCTGCAAACACACACTCACACACACTCACACACACACACAGTTAGTTTCACCTATGGGAGCAAGCGGCCATTAAATCAACTCCATCAATCAGCTGTGCAAACCTGAAACCAGTTCACATAAAGGCTCACCTGACCTGCACGCCTGCCATTTAGAAAAGGTTCAATGTGGTTTTAATATCATTCTGTCAGTCAGTTTAAGGAGTGTGTTCACAGTCAGCGGTTTGTCCTTAACATGAAAATCCTGCAAAATATTTTAACATAACGAATTCATTTGATTTAATTTGCCCTCCATCCTGCAGGAACTTCAACTTGAAGAGGAATTCTGGGTCTAAATGGCAAAAATAAATCACTGCAGTAGATTCCTCCAGCCTGCAGCAGTGAAACAGGCTGTAATGTCTGCAACATCATCCATGATGGATCAAAGTGTGTCCACTAAAAGTTGTTGTTTTCGTCGCTGACAGGCTCAGATTGTTATTCTAAGGGTCTGACAACATTACATGAAGGATCCCGACAAAGATAGAGCTTTATTTTAAAGGAGAAGATGATTTATTTAAACACAAACAGCGGTTACATCACTCTCCACAAACACACCAGACTACATTAAAACTAACAAACCATTTAAAACAGAAACCGACCAATTCAGGCAGCTGTAGAGCAGCAACTCCTGTGTTCTGTGACGTAAACTTCAAATAATAACGTCTGATTAAACGTCTTGTAAAACGTCTGGCAGACTCACCGTTGCTGTAGAGGAGCTGTAGCCTGTAGTGGATCCCGTTGTTGGTCTTCTCTCCGTTGTACTCCTGTCACACACACACACACACACACACACACACACACACATTACACAGAGATCAGTGTGATGAAGGTGAGATAAAAACATGTTCAGACTGAGAGTTTGTGTGAGGCTGAAAACAGCAGGAAGCTTCAGAGCTCACAGTCAAAGCTGCAGCTGTCAAAGTCAAACATGTGCACAAATACTGCATACAATAAACCCAACACCCCTCCCCACAAACGATTAGATTTAGATTATCTTCCTTTTGGATCCAAAAATCGTCATTTTGATCCTCTTTCTGATTAAAGTTAAGGAATGACAACCTCTATTATGAGTGAGTTTGATGATTGTGCTCCCTCCTCATGGGATCAGCGATGTCATCTTAAACTAGAGCATGTCATTATCACTTTAAATTAACTTAACAATGCAGGATGTATTTAAGCATGTTTTATTTTCTGCTAATTTGTAGTTTCCTGTAATTCCAGCCACAAATTTTGTTTTTGTGGGGTCAGCGGTAGCCTAGCGGGCGGCCCAGAATCAAGTCATTAAAGAACCTATTTTGCTGTTTTTCTCAACGACTGAAACTGAAAGAAAGAGTTTAATATTGATCTCTTTGGTTTGAGTTGCAGTCAGAAGATATGACTCAGGGTTATGTGATTGTCACCTCACCTGGGAAGACAGATTTGTCTGTAGTTTTCTTTGGTTTGAATCAGAGTTTAGCTCATCTTTGGTATAATAATTGAATAAGTGTCCATTTTTCTAAGGGAGTGAACATTTCTATTTATCTCAAAATGGTCAGAGATTATTTTCAAACCCCCCTCCTGGACTTCTTAAACGTCTTTCCTTTGTAACTTCTCTCACTCTTCTATCTTGACATGACACCCTCTCCCTCCATTCTTGTTTCCTCTCTTTCTTCTTCTTTTATTTTTTTCTCTTTTCAGCCGTTTCGCCTGTTTTATCTTCTCTCTGCTTTCAGTCTCTGTCAGCCGGCCGCTCCCTGCCAACTGTGCCCGGGAGTGTTGGCTCAGTCCCAGTGCTTCTGTGTGTGTGTGTGTGTGTGTGTGTGTGTGTGTTTGTGTTCATGTGTGTGTGTGTGTGTGTGTGTGTGTGTGTGTGTGTCGGGGGGATGTCGGGGCGAGAGACTAGAGGTCAAAGCCGAGGTGAGGTGAGCGAGTGAGTGGGTGGATCGGAGGGGAAGAAGTGGTGCCAGCTGGCAGCTGATCAAACGACACAAACTCTCACAACCTGTCTGGAGATTATCACTATTACTACTATTATTATTATTATTATCAGAAGTATTAGAAGTACTCTTAATACTATTTGTATTTCGTCAAGTGGAACCCATCAAAAAAGAAATAAACCGGAAGAAATATTGGATTTGTTGGGGATAGAGAATGACGTCTTTCCGGGAGGCCTGCGGGGTCACAGGAATGGATTTCTCTACTAATCACTGGAATGGGACGGCACAGGAAAAAAGGTGAACGGGAGCGGACAGGAACGGGAATCGGTAGTGAATCAACTGACAAAGCTCTGGGGCAAGTCGGATATACTTAAAAAGAAGTTTATGAGAGTCGAGAGTGACTGTAGTGTGACACTATATGCTGTTTGTAAAACATGTAACTTTGCTGTCAAATACAGCAGTCCTCAGGGACAAGGCCTCCAGAGACACTGCTGAGACAATGGAGAAGTAGTAAAATAAATAAATATAAAAACGGGAGCGGGAGGGGACAGGATAGGAAGGAATGGGATGGGACAGAAGTGAGAAAACACTCCTTTATCAGCCTAATGTTGGGGACTATTTTTAGCAGCGAATTAATCCAAAGTTGGTGCTTCAGTCGTTGCTGTTACTGCAGGGAGCAGATCTATTTCATTTTTTTTCAATCAGGCTATAAACAAAACTTGCTTTTTTGAATGGGGTTTGTATGTGACTTCTGGTGCTTCTTCATCCAGCCTCAAGCAGACACTCGACGAACTGCAGGATTCTACACTTTCGCATTGGCTTCATTTTTAAACTACGGTGGTCCCTGCTTTGAGTTAATCCAAATAAGTAAAAGTGCAACTCAATAATGTATATTTAATGTGATTAAAAATGTGTGTTTTACCTTGTCTTTCTCCACAAAGTCGATGTATGAAGTCCTCTCAATCTCGACTGGCTGACCCTGCCGGTCGTACAGCGCCAGCACAAAGTGGAAGAAGTTTGACTTCCTCAGGTTGGACGGCGGCTGCTTCTCAAAGTGTGCCCGAGCTAAACCCACACCGCTGAAACACAGAGAGACAGACAATATTTTATCACTTAAATCAAACATATGTGTGGTTGTTACAATACTGGAACTTTTGAATTCAATACTAATCTCTCTTTCTCCACCATTTTTACTGCGATGTATCTCAGGTGTAGTTTTGCAGGTTTCCATGTCAAATCAAGTCTTACCATACCAGATACTTTGACTGAAATGTTTATCTCTGTTAAGTTACAATGAATGAATATTTGAGGATTTGTTACTAGTATTAAACTTTTTATTCTGTTCTCGACCAGGACTCGCTAGTAAACTTGGCAGCATGATACCCCCCCTTCAGGTGTCCAATCCAAACATGGCAAAAAGGCCCAAACAAAGAAGTTATATGATTGTGCATCATTTCTCGGAGTTAAAAAAAGACTTTAACTGAGTGCGTGAATGGTAAAACAGCAGTGACTTAATTTTCAGCTGTTGATTTAAGGAGCAGTGGATGGAAATCCTGGCTAATCCTGAACTAAAATCGATGCTCCAGCAGGAAGCGACCTCTGCTCTCATCCCAGAGACGCTCGCAGAGTCTGCGGGGGAAACGCTCAAAGCAACAGCCGAATATTTTTACATCAATCTCATTTTCCCGCTCGTTTTGTTTCCTAAAACACTTTGTGATCAATATGATGGCCCGGGCGCAGATAAATATTTATTCATGCTCTGGGTTTGTTTTTGGAAACTCGCCTGCTCTCTCTCGGTGTGTGTGTTTCCCGGCTCAGGGGTGTATTCCCCAGACGGCAGATTAATACAGCCGTGACCTTTCTGCACCCCCATTACCAATGCTTAATGCCTCATTTGTAGGCCGGTTTGTTGGAAGCTAATTCTTCCGACTGGGTGAATGGACGGCTGCGTAGAGAGCGTGCAGGAGGAGGAGGAGGTGGAGGAGGAGGTGGAGGAGGGGAGCAGCTCAGGTGTGTTGGAGACGGTTTTTAAAGGAGGCTCGCTGGGAGTAAAGTGTCAGAAAACCTAACAGTGTTAAAACAGAAAATAACAGCGAGAGGAATCACAGCGCGCCAGCCTTCAACACTTTCACCACCAGATATTTTCAATGACTTCTTGTGAGAAAAAAAAAAAATAACACACATCCACAAGCATCTGTTTTCATCCACGATGCTATTTTTAAGCACAGAGCTGACTGTACAGGAGGAAACAGCCATCAACAACAACAACACACCGACAAAACAATGAGATATGTAGTCAAGTAAATCAGCACGTCATCAGCAAAATGTTGAGAACGCGTCACAAATATACAAGGTGGGTATTTTGTGATGTATTGTCATCGTGACTGATGCGTGTATTTGTTGTCTAAGCATCAGTTTTATGTTTTTACTATTTTGTCCAGTGACTATTAACCCTTTAAAATAACAGACTGCATCGTTTTAGAAACAACTTGTTGATTTAAAAGTTGAGTCTGTAAGTATTTGTACGGTTTAATCTGCTAAACTTTTGATCATTTTCATGAATTTTGGTTTCAATCACAATGTGTGGGATTAAAAAAAAGCTAAATTATCAAATTTACTTTTGACTCATCTAATCTTCGCACACCAGATACTTGGTTTTCTATGATCCCAGATTATGAAAACCATCACTTGAAAATTTTTGATAAAGTTTCAAAAGATTCTTCCCATTGGTCCTGGGAATATATCACTTATATAACTCAAATATATAAAGACAAGGGAGAGAACAGACTGGAGAAAAGATGGCGCTGAGTTAGTCTGTCATTTGTTAAGCTCCTCCTCAAGCCTTTCCTTGTTTTATTTTTGGGAGTGTGAACATGCACTGTGGTAGTTGTGAACATGAAACTGAAAGAAATGAACATGAGCATGTTTACAGTGCAGTGGAGTGAAATGACAGAGTAGTAGGTAAAAAGAGTTGTTCATTATTAAAAGAAACAGAACGGTCCTTTAACATCAGCATCACGATGTTTCTTTATATTTATGTCCTTTGAGTTTAGTTGTATTTGTAATAAATCCTGCTGCAGACAAAGAGCTGATACAAACGCAGGTTTGACCGTTAAAACAAACAGAGAGGCGAGGCGATTCGCTGAATTTGGCACCTGTTTCATCAGAAGCATCACTTCCACCACTAAATCCAGCCCATTATCCCAATTACACACACTGCTATTCAGACAGCCCATCGGCCGGCGCTCAGCCTCTCGTCTCTGCTCTGCCTCCACTCAGAAAGCTCGTTAGCATTATTATTATTTCAATTATGCTAATTGTGCTGCAGCCACTCGTCGCCGCGCCTCGTATCCGGCTGTTAGCACTTGGCACAAGGTGTAATAAAAACAGTATCGATGGCACACGGCGCGCTCGAACATGCCCGGAGTGTAAATCACACGCCAACAGGCAGAGAGGAGGAGAATAACACACACACACACACACACACACACACACACACACACACACAGATACACACACGCACACACACACACACACACACACACACACAGAACAAACAGGGAGACAAACGAGGGCCGGCGATTGTGCACGTTTCATCACAAAGCTGAAATTAAAGGTCAGCGGGAGTCGTGTCGAGCACTCTGCAAACAATTACTGAGCGAGAAGCCGCTGCTGTCAGTTCATATAACACACACACACACACACACACACACACACACACACACACACACACACACACACACACACACACACACACACACACACACACAAAAAAAAAACAGACACCAAGTGATCCCAGTTAAGAACGTCATGAACTGGATCTGCACCTGCTGCAGCTTCTTTAAACTCCTGCTGTTTGTGCAGACCTTTTAAAAAAAAAAAAAAACAACAGAACTTGATTGAACATTTTAGCAGAGCTCTCAAGGTTTCCTTACACACCAAAAATGTGTGGGGCTGAAGTTGTTTGCAAATGTGTGCAAAATGATGCAGTCAAATGTTTCTGTTTTGCAGCCACAAAGAAAGTGAAATGTTGCCTCTATTCTCCCTCTCCACTCTGATACATTCTGATTTTTCCGCCTTTAAAGTTGGCAGAGATAGTAGTGACAGCAGCGGGTCAACATTTGGGAAATGGGCGAGCCAGCAGGATGAGACCAACTGTTAAGAAATAAGGAAGTTTTAAAAGTGCAGCCGAGAAGATTAGCAGCTAAAATAAAAACAAGGAAAATCACTGTCAGACCGAACTTTCTGTAAAGGTTTTGCCAAACGGTGCAGTAGAATATTTCTGATTGTCGGACATTTGCAGCCAGAGAACACCTGCAGGAGGTGAAGTGTTGACTGTATTCCTCTTGACATTCTGTTATATAAAAGCTACAAACACAGAATTAGGCAGGGACAATCTTTAGCCGTTAAGTAGGCAGAGAAAGTAGCAACAGAGCAATGACGATGTCTGTTAAATTGGGGAAGAGTGCAGGACGGGACGGGCCGTTATGTTCTCAACTAGCCACAAATAGCAGCTAAATCGAAGCAGAACAAGTGAGCAGATGAAGCAGAGCGACTTAACATGTTTGTGTCTATGGTACTGATGCTAAACAAACTGTAATGATAAACAATGGGACAGTGTTAGCTCAGATTTTGGAGCATGCACCATGAGACTTCCTTCTTTCCTTCCATGACTTCCCGGTCTCTCTTCAGCTGTCCTGCTTATTTAAAGGCAAACACTAGACGGTGTATCCGTTGCGTCCTGCTAAATTCTCTTCCAGAACGTCGGCATGCTGTGTTAAAAACACACTAGAGCATAAGATGCAAGAACTGTTTGCTTCAGTGTAAAAAAAATCTAAGTATGTGTAATGACAGGACTTCTTCATGGCGTTGCCGTGGGAATTTCGTTGGGAAAAGTTAGCGACTGCACAGCAGGAAAAAACGTGACAAATTTGTCGTTTCTCTGCAGCAGCAGGAGCAGCAGCAGTAGTTTGTGTATTTAGTTCAAAAAGTACAGCAGTGTGTGAAGAGCCAGAGCAGATGAGCGTAAACATACAGGAGCTTAAAACAACTTACAGCGTCTGACACTACACACTGTGGGATGTGCACAGATATAGTGGGAGAAAACATGTGCTATTCTCCTGCTAACAAGTAAGGCTCTTTATAACTGAGCAGACCTGAAACAACCAGCTGCAACTTGACGTCTTTTTTTAAGATCAAGACAAAAATTCAGGGCTCCAAACTCCAAACTTAAACTGATATCTTCGAACAGTCTGCTTTAAGGTCGTCTAAATATATATACTGTAAATACTTTCATACTTTTTGACACCACTTTGATTCAATCTCTGTTATGTTTTAGACTTCATAGTATCTAAGAGTAACAAAGCTTTAAAATATATATATATATTTCATAAGACAAGTGTGGAGTAAAATAATGAATCCAGGCAAACTCCTGCATATTGTTTGAATTGCACAAAAAACATGGCCACATGTTGGTATGGAAACGTGGCCGATGTTTGTGTGCAGTTCAGACAGTGTGCAGGAGTTTGTATGCATTATTTGGTATTTAAGTGCAAAAAAAATACATTACATCATGGCAACAAAAATAGTCCTAAAGCTCTAAACACCCAACTATTTTAGTTTGTTTATTTTTGTATATAAACACGAACATAAATGAACAGTCCGACTTTTAACCTTTATACTTTTATTTGAAATGTAATGTGCTGGAATAATAAAAAATTCTCCTTAAACGTCCTTTAGGACTGAATGTAGCGTGCTGGATGTTCGTTTACACACCTCATACACACACCCAAACACACACACACACGCACACACACACGCACACACACACACACCATGACATTAATCAAACAGGAGATGGAGTGTGACCGATGTTTGAGTCTTTAACCAGCGTGGCCTGCCGACTGACACACAAACGCACATAAATAAAACACACACACCGACCTAATGAGCCATACTATACACACAGACACAGACGCAGACGCACACACACACACACACACACACACACACACACACACACACACACACACACACATATACACAAACTCTAATAGTGACTGGCTGGCTGCCATGATTT